TCTCGGTTCACACGAGGGCACATTTTTCTCTTTCGAGTTCGCTCTCCTCAAAAATTTTCTCGTACATTTTCTACGTATACGTATTTCTCTCACCGTGGACCATTTTCTTCGCTTTCATCCCTCTCGAAGGTCCAAGTGCGGTCGCCGTGACCCGCGAAATCCGGTGTACACCCTCGACACCCTCCCCGGTATCCGTCTTTAATTTTCGTAGATGCAGCGAGGCGCAGAGAGTTGTGTGTCCCGCGATGATTATTCGGAGTGATCGGGGTGGCGACTTGTTCCCCGCGCAGGGGGAGACGAACTCGAGCGTAAGAGATTGCTCTGCTTTCCTATCTTCGAACTTGTCCTCGAGTTTTCCCTTTGTCCGCCCCCTTTGGCCTCCAACGGACCCTTTAGCGCCCTCGTGTGTCAGTCAGTCAATCAACGTAGGAATCTAGCGGTTCCTACAAGCCCCTCCCCTTCAAAAACTCTTAGCACCGCCGATATTAAAACATCCTCCCCCTTTTCACCTATCCTCTCTCCTCAGAAGAAATGAAGCCTCCTCCCGAAATCCACTATTCTCGCGTGGATAGTTTCAAGGAGTATAAAATAGAAGAAAAATTATCGAATAAAATTTAATTCGCTCCACGATTGATTCTTGATGTTACGAAGAAGAAGAAGAGTAAGAAAAATAAGCCGATAAATTGTCGAAGGAATGTGATATTGTTCAAAGTTACTCGCTGTTAAACGCATAAAACGAACGAAGAAGATATTCTCGTTCGGATCTGGCAACCGACCGTCTCTAATTTGCGGGGTGGAGGAAAGGGGTGGGTGGCATTGAGACAGGTCAGTCCGCTGTGAAAATCGGATATATGTATTTACCCACTGTTCACCCTATCTTTCTCTCTCCCCAGGGGAACGGGAAATCCAGTTATGAATACGGGATCGTTGCGTTGTTTTTAGCGGTTTGCCGGCGAATCACGCTCGACGATCTCTCTCTCTCTCCCTCTCTCGGTCGGCGGTTACTCGGCCGCGAAATCGATTAGTTACGCGGAACAATAAACGGACGATAAATTAGGTTTCCGAACAATCGGAGATGTAAACGTTTTGTTGTTGCATCGGGAGGAGGAGGAGGAGGAGAAGGGGAAGGATGATTTGGAATTTCAACACGCAGTTGGATCACACGCGTGAGGAAACGAAAGGAAGGAATTATTCTTCGGAATGGTTAATTCAGAAATGTTTCTCGTCCCAGCTTTTCGAAAGCTTTTTAATCGACTGGGCACGTTTCCCGATAATATTCGTCGCGGTTCCAATAAACCGCAATCAAGTTTGTTACCCACCTTTATTTCGTGTTTGGAACTTTGTTTCGGCCACGTTTGCACGGCGGTAGAACCTGCAAGGTTCCTGCAAACGTGGTTGCGAGACCAGACGACCGTTTACGTTATGCCAACTCCTCCCGCTCTCTCTCTCTCTTTCAATCTCCTTTTCTCTCCGCTTCATCCCTCTCCTTCCATCTATGTCCATCCTCCTCTCGCCACAGGTTGTTCGGGAAAATATTAGCCGCGGGCTTCGTAGCGTTAAAGGGGAACGGTTAAATTAATAATTCGCAAATTGGCAAGAGAAATGCCGCTCGTACCTCAGGACAACCCCTCTCCACTTCTCCCCCTCTCGTTGCTCCTTTTCGGGTGCAGTTTGCGGTGTTTCGACTAGGGTGGCACCAACGACACGACTCTCTCTCTCTCTCTCTTCGAGACGTCTGTTTTCGACAAGCGACCGTCGATTAAACAGGCAATTAGCATCGCAGGGGAATCACGGAGGAAGGAAGACGATCGCATTTCTCGAGAAAACGTTGGAGCATCGACTTCATTAGCCTTTTCTCGACCTTTTCGCTTTTCTCCACTTGTTCGCCAGAATTTTTCTCTCGTCTCGCCCAGGAGATTAATTATGCTCG